CCACTACTCAAACACAACAATAAGGGTTATTCCACTACTCCAACACAACAATCAGGGTTATTCCACTACTCAAACACAACAATAAGGGTTATTCCACTACTCCAACACAACAATAAGTTATTCCACTACTCCAACACAACAATAAGGGTTATTCCACTACTCAAACACAACAATAAGGGTTATTCCACTACTCAAACACAACATTAAGGGTTATTCCACTACTCAAACACAACAATAAGGGTTATTCCACTACTCCAACACAACAATAAGGGTTATTCCACGACTCTAACACAACAATAAGGGTTATTCCACTACTCAAACACAACAATAAGGGTTATTCCACTACTCCAACACAACAATCAGGGTTGTTCCACTACTCCAACACAACAATAAGAGTTATTCCACTACTCAAACACAACAATAAGGGTTATTCCACGACTCCAACACAACAATAAGGGTTATTCCACGACTCCAACACAACAATAAGGGGTATTCCACTACTCAAACACAACAATAAGGGTTATTCCACTACTCCAACACAACAATAAGAGTTATTCCACTACTCAAACACAACAATAAGGGTTATTCCACGACTCCAACACAACAAGTTTGAGTAGTGGAATAACCCTTACAACAATAAGGGTTATTCCACTACTCAAACACAACAATAAGGGTTGTTCCACTACTCCAACACAACAATAAGAGTTATTCCACTACTCAAACACAACAATAAGGGTTATTCCACGACTCCAACACAACAATAAGGGTTATTCCACGACTCCAACACAACAATAAGGGGTATTCCACTACTCAAACACAACAATAAGGGTTATTCCACTACTCCAACACAACAATAAGAGTTATTCCACTACTCAAACACAACAATAAGGGTTATTCCACGACTCCAACACAACAAGGCACAGCGGTATGTCTGCGGACACATATCGCTAGAAACCGGGTTTTGATACCCGTGGTGGACAGAGCACAGAGAGACCGTCGTGTAGCTTTGTGCTTAACTACAAACCATCTACACTTCATTTATTCGCACAGTTTGAGATGACAAATATTTAATACAACAGTCAACAGTTCTTTAAATAATGCGATGCCCTGATAAAGATCATAATCGTTAAATTTTTGGTGGAATAACCCCCGGTTTTTATCCCTTTATAATTCAAAGGCAAGTTGAAACGTAAAATAATTTTCGACCAAACAAATAAAAACTATAACAAGCATAAGAAATTTCATGTTCTTCCGATTGTTGAGCTAGGCTGACTCCATTATTCTTTCTTTCGAAATGTCAAGATGTCTACCTTTAGCAAGTTCAAATATAAAAAAAAAGAAGTACACGAAATTCAAGAATATGGAAGGTGTGCTCTGAAGATATTACTCTAATACAAGTTCACTTCCTAATTTAAATATCTGAGACAAAATAAAATATGGTGGACAGGTTTATACTGGTGCGCCATCTAGTTGCAACCAATGTCAAGACAATTTATTTTCGTTAATGATATAAAGTGTGGATTATTTGAATTCAATCTTTCATCTGGATAATTCTAATCGAATTTTGCAACACGTATTTTTAAATAAATTTAACAAATAAAATGTCAGTGAAAATTAAAACTATCGTTTTTCTGCTGACAGGCTAACGTGTTGACCTGACATGCATCTGTGTCTTGGTAAATAATTCAGACCAAAATATGAGTACTTATTAATACATTTTCTTAACTAGTACGCAATAAAAATAGTAACAAGTTAAATAAGTAATATAGCCTTATTTATTACAGCGTTTACTAACTTAAATCCAGGAGTAAGTTCAAATCAACCATGAAATATACACAATGATACTTTTAAGTCCTTTGATCAGTGAATGAACTGAGATCTTAAAGGGACAAGTTAAAAATCATCTTATTCCCAGAATACAATAAGGTTTTAGGGACACACGTTTATAATGGTTGCAAAACGTGTTGGTTACAGACTTTGAAAATAAATGATTCACTTCAATTTAAATTGCAATGAATTTCTATATTTGACATTCAGAATCTACTAACTGTTCTTTTTAAATTCTCAAATCTTCCAGACCATTCTACAATGACAAACGGTAAAGTAACCCCACGAAAGTTTAAAGTAAAATGTCATAATTTACGTAAGCTATAAAATGATTAATTACAACAAATTCGTACCAAATATGAAGTAATTACCGTAATTTCAACGTTATCTGTAGTAACAAAATCTCAAATACAACTGATTATTGTAAATCATACTCAAATCACGTAATCGAAGTTAACAAACACCACTTTTCTGGTGGTTAGGGGGCGCTGAACTCGCAATCTGAGGGTCGTGGGTTCGAATCTTCGACCAACCAAACGTGCTCGCCCTTTCAGCCGTGGGGGCGTTATAATATGACGGTCAATCCCACTATTCGTTGGTAAAAGAGTAGCCCAAAAGTTGACGGTGGGTGGTGATGACTAGCTGCCTTCCCTCTAGTCTTTTACTGACAAATTAGGGACGGCTAGCGCAGATAGCCCTGGCGTAGTATTGCGCGAACTTCAAACCAAACTTCAAACTTCTCTGGTAGATGATACTGGAAGGGTTTTTCAAACAAGTAGAAACCTATTAATACTTAATCTGGTAGATGATATTGGAAGGGTTTTTCATACAAGTAGAAACTTGTTAAGACTAAATCTGGTAGATGATATTGGAAGGGTTTTTCATAGAGGTAGAAACCTTTTGAGACTAAATCTGGTAGATGATATTGGAAGGGTTTTTTATACAAGTAGAAACCTGTTAAGACTAAATCAATCGGACTGGACAAATTTGGGCATAACGAAATTGTATAAAGTCGTAATAAACCCGTATAAATTATACCGAATGCGATTTTTTGGACGTTTTATATACTCAAGTAACATGTACGTTTAGCTGCACTAGTCTTATACTGATCAGGTGACTTACAAGAAAATACTCTGGGTGACATACTGACTTGGCCATGTAATTTATAGGCCAGCATTCTGGTGACTTAACTACGTTGGTCTAGTGGTTTACAGGGCAACATTCTGGTGACTTAACTACGTTGATCTAGTGGTTTACAGAGCAACATT